TTATCAGCTAGAAGTGAGGAGCTAGCAGGAGATGCTAGTGTTCAAAGAGAGAGGAGAAACTGTAGAGAGTCCTCCAAGAAAGTCAGAGAGTTGACTGGATGAGGAAGTAGAATGTGCTTGTCTGGTAGCAGACATCCCCATAATCCCCACAACCCCTGCCACACAAGGGAACCCTTCACCTGTGTGTGTTGGATTGGCCTTTCCCTTACAGTCTTTTTCACATATTCTTTGCACAACTCTTGTTTTGCTCATTTGATTTACAGTAAGCAAAATTCTTTGCAGATGGAAATTCATCCTGAGATGAGACTATCTGATGCCAGGGGAACATGTCTATTATATTTTTACACTGAGTGAGAAGAATTTGCTTCTCTCTAGACTCTACTCTTTACCAAACAGGCCAGCCAGAGTCCAGCCCACAGGCACCTCCATGGTGCATGTGTATAGCCTGCTACCTTCTGAGGACAACTGTTCCCTGCACTCAGCTACTCTCCCAATCGACTTTCAAAGTCACAGGGTTGGGGAGGGGAGCCAAGGTGGCTAAGTTTAAAAGGTGATGTTGGAATCTGTGTTTCTGGAAGAGGGAGTCCTATGACTCAAGTAGGGGAAGCCAGTTTATATCAGGGCAGGTTTCCTGCAGCTGGATGGTCTGGGTGGAACCCCAGAGGTGGCTGCCTGGCTAGAAAACAATGAGAAAGGGATGTGGAGGAAGTAGGGACTGGGGGCTGGGGGGGGGGCGGTGGTTGTTGAAAGCCTAGAGTTGGAATTCACTGTCCTTTTGCTTTGTTCACGTGACACTGGCTTGTTGGTAGCTAGGCTTTTGTTGTGTGCATCTCCCTAGACGCTAACTAAGCACAGAAATAAGGGAAGTTGCTTAAGTGCTGTTTGTTTCACACATTGGGCCTCCACTAGGAATTTATCTAGTAGATTTGGGACCAAATATCCCCCTTTTTGTGAATTTTGAAATATTTCTAATTAGAGACTAATCACAGTACAGTGAAAAATACCACAGTCTTATATAACCGAAGCAGAATTTTTTTTGACAAGGATGTAAGCCACTTACTTTTTATCTTTTATTGTCAGTGTGTGTGTGCTCACCAGAGAGAAAAAAAGCACTCCCAAAGGGGCATGGTTACACTACAATCCTTTTTCCTCCACTGTTTCATCCCATCAGGATTAGGGGCTCACACGTACATGTGCCCAGTGTGTTTTTCAAGCCACTGGGACTAGAATTCAAACCTCAGTCAGCTACGCAGGATCTGGCTCCCTGTGCACAGCCCTTAACTGCTGCACTATGAGGGCTGACCAACCACTTACTTTTTTTTTAAAGGAGATTTAGAAAAAAAATCATTTGCTTGCTACCATTTTTTGCCCAGCAGACTTAGTTTTCAAACTGAAGAATAAAATGATATGAAGTAGTCCTACATAAAGTAGGAGCTCAGCAGCTGTTCTGCATCACAAGGGTCACCAAAGATCATAAGGTATTCAATCTCACTTGCTGTTATAGCCTGTGCCCTTGTTTTCCATAAGCCATGGTGTTCTGGCACATTCGTTCTGTGAAGAGCCAATCAGTAAATATCTCAGGCTTTGCCAGCCGTATGGTCTCTGTCACCACTACTCAACTCTGTGACTAGTTTGCAACCAGTAGTGCAGAAGCAGTTACAGACAATATGCAAACAAATATGCAAACAAATACATAGACAATAAAACTTGGCGTGGACACTGATACTTGAATTTAATATCACTGTTACACATCATGAAATAGTAACTTTACTGTGAGATTTTTCAATCACTGAAACACAGACAACACTCTTAGCTTGTGGGCTGTGCAGGAACAGGTGGGAGGATGGATGTGGACCATGAGCCATACTTGCCAGTTACAACCCTAAACTTCAGTAAGCTTGTGAGATACAAACTATTTATCCTTGGGATATAAAGGAACTGCCTGGTTAATCTGTAATGATGCTTTTAAATTCTAGCACAATCTGCTAAATTTTTAAATAATCAGATTTCATTAATTTAGTAAACAGGTCTCTGTTATCATTTAACCATGAAGAAGTTTGCTATGGGTAGAGCAGAACAATGCTTATACTTTTAAAATTGCTTAAGTACTGCTAACATTTTGGCCCGTTCCCTTCGAATACTAATCTCCCCACTTTTTTTTTTTCGCATAGAGAGAAACATTTTAGTAATAACCAGGGCTTTGTCAGTGGAAAGATTGATTTTAAATCCTTATTCTGCTGCCTAAGAGCTCCCTGACTTTCATAAATCACTTTCCCTCATGAGCCTCTAATTTCTTAGCTGTAAAATGATTATAATGTTGGGTTATTTGTGAAATTAAGACACAGAGCACACTTATTCATGTAAACCTCGATTACAGGTGATCCAACCTTTAGTAAATAGCTAGCACTTGTGTAGCATGTACACTAGAAATATCAGGAATATATGACATTCAACCATTTCTGGCTTGTTTTTTCCATTTGTCATTTTTTTTTTATTTGCCAGTAGGTGTGTGTACTTGCCAGAGAAAGACAGAGACAGACAGAGAGTGAGAGAAGGAAAAAGCACCTCCCAATAGAGCATGGTTGCACCACAAGCCATTCTTTTTCATTTTTCCATTCTATCAGATTTGGGGCACACATACACATATACCTGGTGTGTTTTTCAAGCGACTGAGGCTAGGATTCCAACCACATGGTCAGTCATGTGGGATCTGACTCCCTTAACCACCAGGCTGTGGGCTAGTCCTCATTTGACTTTCTACCGTAAGTACATTCTCATGTCATTCAATATTCTCTCTCTCTTTTTAGAATGGTTTATTTAATTTTATTATTATTATTACTATTATTTTAAAAATTGTTATAGGGCATGTGGGCTCACCAGAGAGGGACAGACAGAGAGTGAGAAAGCAAGCCACCAGGTCACCAGGTCCAGGACTCAAACCATAGTTGGCCATGTGGGAGTCTAGTGCCTTAACTAGCACCCCACCAGCTGGCCCCAATATTTTCTTAAAATGCATTATTTGATGGTTACTTAACATTCCATTTAATGGGTATGTCACAATTAATTAGTCTTTTCTGAAAATGGGACAAAGCTGTGTTCTTTGCCCTTGCTGTAGAGACTATTTTGGAAAACAGTGAGCCAGAGCCACATCCCTGATAATTTTTTTAAGAAGGGTTTATGGAGGTAACATTTCTAGATTAAAGGATCTGATAAATGACTATTAATAAGATTGAATATTTTTCCTGTGCTTTTTGGCCTTTTGTATTTCTTCTCCTGAAAATTGTTTTCATGTATTTTCTTATAAAGGATATACCAATTTCCCTTTGGTTCTTGAGCAGTTAAGATATCATAATCCAGCCCTACATTTATTGAGTGTGGGCTGGGTAATAGTGTGTGCTGGGCTTGGCCTAAAGAAGAACAGAGGGGTCTTGAGCTCAACTTCCAGAGTGAGGCTGCCGGAGCCAGGTCCACTTAAGCCCCTTAACCTCTTAAAGCCCCACACAGGGCCTGGCCCCTGTACCTTATTTGTACCTGTACCTCACAGGGCTGCTTTGAGACTGAAATAGACTCGTATACATCAAGCCCTTAACATGATGCTTGACTCAGGAAGGGGTCAAGAAATGTAAGCTCTCTCTTTTCTTATCATTTCTATCATGTCATCTTTCAAGGGGCAAAGACAGATGTGTTTGCGTTAAAATAGACATGTGGGTTTCTAGGAAATGAAACTAGAAGTAGTTGTTTCCTTTGTAACATCAGAGCCCCGAGGTTAATGCTTCATTAGAACTACAACACAAAATGTGCCTGGGAGCCAATATTCAGATATCAAAGTCAGAGTGGGTTCTTAGTCAGTTCTCTTCATCGTGTCTAATTTGGGCAACAAAATAATTTCAGAAAAAAGCTACTGATGCATTTTTCTAATTAAGTTTTAGTATAGCTAATAACTCACACATGCATCACAGCATTTGTAAGGAACTGGAACAAATATTCTGTTATTTGAGCCTCACAATGGCCCTGGAAGGCAACTGCTATAATAATGCTCTCTCTCTCTCTCATGATGCTCATTTTATAGTCACAGAAATCGAGTTGCAAATGGCTTAGGTGACAAGCGCAAGGTCTCACAGCTAGTGACTGGGAAGGGCAGTGCTGACAAAGACTCTCCTTTATTAAATCTCAGTCAGGTTCCTCTAAGGCCTTTGGACTTTGCGTCCATCTTTTCATTAGCCAGTTTGAGCAGGAATCCTGCTAAGTCATTTTACCAGGAATCCACTCCCCATCCCCAACTTAGTGTGTGATCACTTTCTGTATCTGATCAGGCTTCTCATCCTCCCCCATCCCCCAAGTGATGTCTGATCATCCAGGCCAGCCTTCAGCAAGAACCTTGCCAGGTTAGTTTACCCCAATGTTTCCTCTTAGTAATTTTCCATCCCCTGGCCTCCATTCTGCTTCTTGGCTATATGTCCACATTTGTCTTTGCTATATTTGGCTGTGAGCCCAGTTCTATACCAAGGTCTCTTTTCTCTTACTGCAGTAACCCTTCTAATACCACTTTAATGTCCAGTTCTGGTTTTCCTTGACAATTCCTGACCCAGAGTTCCTGCAATCTTAGTGCAATGTACCCATCTCATAACCTCCATCTACATAGCCACTCAGACAATGCCATATGCTAGGAAAAGCACAAGGTAACATCAGAGATTCAATGATTTGTATGACTTTCAAGCCAGAACTGTAGGATGAAGAAATGAGATTCATACCAGCTATGTCCCCAATTCTAACATCTGCTCCTTCTTACCACAGCACATATTTAACTCTTGTAGGAAGTTGAATAGAACAAGTGTTTATTAATTTGAAATTATGAAATATCCCTTTGATTAATTTCAGTTATGAAATATTGTGAAACAATTTCCCTCAGCAAATAATAGATTCTTAAACATCACTCTTGCCAGATGGTTTCCGACAAAGATTACAGATAATATTTTTAAGAATCTCTTAGCTGTTCTTACCATTTTTAGTCTTGTTCTGCAATAGAATACAGAGGACTGGTTGAAGAGAGCAGAGCATGAGAGTTGCCAAGATCAGCCTGAGATGGGCCCAAGAGTTTCAACTAAGACAAAGAGAAATATCAGACTTTACATTTCAAAGGTAGCAAAATACTGTCCCTTAAAAACATGCTGAGAACATTGCTTAAAAACATGCTGCTGAAAATGTCTATTAATAGTATTGACTTCCTCACAGTTAGATAGGCTAGAGACATAATCTAGAATTTTTTTTTTTACATATTGGTTTATTAAACTTATATAAAATACATTGCAATAAACTGGTCTAAAGGTTAAAAGTTAAAGGTTACAAGCGGTTACCATCGAAGAGGGTTAGGACTGTGAGTATGGAGTAAATGTCAGGGAGCATAGGAATGATGGCACCTCATTGTGGGTGCTGGTTACAATGTCACTAAAAGTCTAACCTTTAAAGAATTGATATTTTAGATTACCACATATCTTCTTCATATTTATATATTTTTTTCTTCTTCATATTTAAAAAAATATATTTTTGCATACCATTTAGGTTCCTTCTCCATCCCTCCCGAATCCTTTCTAGCAATGCATGCATCTACTTTCTTAAATTATCTGAATTCATTCCAATATTTAAAATACCTTTCTTGATTGCATAGAGTGATTCTGTATCTGGAATCTTCTGAGAGGAAGAGATGGGTGGCAGGAAGTGTGTAGAGTCACAGAGACTCCAGGCTGTTAGGTTAGTCCTGAGGTTTCCAAGTGTAAAGATAAGTTTAGGGGGCAGGGGGAGGAGCTTGGCTTTAAGCCACCCCATACATGGGGCTTTCAGAAGCACTAGGTTCCTCTTATTTCTAACACCACAACTGAGGCTATGTTATGTATAAATCCAAACAACTTGGGAGACCCATTTTCTTTTTTATAGTAGGATTTTCAGCCTCAGTACTGTTGACGAATCTGACTGCATAATTATTTGTTGCATTATAGTATTTTTGGCTGCACCCTTGGATTATGCCCACTAGATGCCAGTAACATTGCTCCCTCCTAGTGTGGCAATCTCCAGACAGGGCAAAATATCCCATGAGGTGAAAATGCCCCAGGTTAAGAACCACTGTTCTACAGCTATCTTAGAGATGTGTCTGAATTTACCTTACTCTGTTTTAGACACAGCTGGAAAGGATGCTGATTGTTAAGCAGTGGCAAAGCTACTACTTAGTTAAAAAAGGTCAGCAGCATTACAGTCTAGTGTCACATAAAGCTTTACTTCTTAGTGTGGCCCCCAAAGAATTCTTACCTTCTTAACTAATTATCAGGGTCTTTTGTAGGTAGAGTCAATATACAGTAGTTTTGTTTAAGCTTCTTTAATCTACCTAGTACAACTGAAGAGCATTGGGAAATGTAACATATGGTGTAGATATTTTAGATAATAATGATCAGAGTTAATATATGGTGTTGAGAAGTCAGTGATACCCCAAACCAGATGAAAAACTACTAGATATGATAATAATAGGTGACATTTATTGAAGGTTTATTATGAGCCAGACACTGTTTTAGCTACTTTAGATGTCTTATCTCATTAAACACTAAAAACTTATGAAGTAGATCTCTTATTACCCATTGCTGTGATTCAAATGTGTCCCCACCAAATCTATGTTGAAATTTGATTGTGATAGTATTAAGAGTGTAGAAATTTAATCCTACTATGGGATTAAGAGAAGGAACCTTGGCAGGTAATTAGGATTAGATAAGACCATCAGGATGGGGTCACCATGACTGAATACTGGTGGGTTTATGAGGGCAGGGAGAGAGACCAGAATAGAGAAATGAACACAGACTCCCACTCCCACTCTCTCATCATGTAATGTCCTGCACTGTCTTGAGATTCTGCAGGGAATCCCCACCAACAAGAAAACCCTTACCAGATGTGGCCCCTTGACCTTAGACCCCCTAAACCATGAGCTCAGTAAACCTTTATTCTTTATAAATTACCCAGTCTGTGGTATTCAGTTATTAAGCAACAGAGAAGAGACCAAAGCAACCATTTTTAAACAAATACTGGATTTGATGCAAAAAGAATATTGAACTAGCCCCGGGTCGCATAGCAAATGACACTCACATTGGCAAGTAAAATCAAATGCCTCCTTGTCAAACCACTCTGCTATGCAAACAGCAGTAAAAATTGATAGTTTTCTTGGGACCAGCAGACGTCACTGGACTCCTATGTAGTTGACTGTGGTTCAAGTCCTGGACCCTGGCGGCTTAAAACTCATGCTGGGCACATGTGTGTGTGTGTGTGTGTGTGTGTGTGTGTGTGTGT